TTCAGGATATTTATAATGGTATTCATTCCCACCTCTTGTAGCGAAAACTTCCTGTTCCCCCTCAGAAAGTGGTAAAGCTGCTATCTCCTCATTGATGGTTTGCACCTTGACCTTTGATACTGGCTCTGCTTGAAACCAGGACAAAGGAACCGATCCGAAGCTAATAGAGACCGCGTTTGCGCCTACCTTCTTCTCCTTTGGCTTCGGTGTCACAATACCAACATCAATCAATGTTTGAATTTTATCCTTTAAAACATAACATGTCTTAGTAGGATGGTGGACCCTTCTGTGATATGCACAATACTTTGGGTCATTGATCTTCGTTGCTTCTTCTTGGTTTGTGACCGGTGGAAGCTTGATCTTGTTGTTCTCTAACAAGTATTTGAAGATGACCGGAACTTCATCATCTTTGAAAGAGTATTCCTTCGGGAATCTGGGCTCCGAAGTCTTGGGTTGTCTCGGAGGCTGTTGATTCTGATTTGGTGCCAACTGGAAGGACGATTGCTGCGGTTGTTGTTGCGGCGGCTGTTGTGACGTTTGATGTGCGTCCACAGCAGCTACGGACCCTCTTCCTCTGCCTCGAGGGTTAAAGTTCTGCTTTTGATTTTGATTCTGATTATTAGCTGGTGGCAAACCTCGCTCCAAATTCTTTCTCTTGAGGAAGCGTTCAGCTTGTTCACCTCTTACTTTCATCTCTTTCCAAGTTTTAGAGGGAACAACCCCCACCACTTCTAATACATCCAAGGACAGGTTATTATGACATGTTTGCAGAATAAATTCTTCTGTGAGTGGATCTCTGCAGTTCACCGCTTTGTCCCGGAATCGTTTGACAAAGACATCGACCGATTCCCCATCCTTCTGCTTCTCATCCAACAACGTGCCAATTGAGACCTTTGTGTCGTCGTTGAAGAAATTGGTGAGGAATAATTCTTTCATATCCTCCCAGCTAGAGATACTCCCAGGTTTAAGGCGTCGGTACCAATCGAAGGCAGGCCCGTGAAGGGTTCCTACGAATGACTGGACCATCAGGGCTTCGTTCCCGGATATTGCGCCGAGATGCGACTTGAAATAGATCAAGTGCTGAGTGGGTGAACCCCTGCCATCAAAAGGAGTAAAGTTAATCAAATTAAATTTTGGGGGATAAAGAATCAAGTCCCACTCCCTCGGGTACGGGTATGGAATGCTCGTTTTCTTCACTTTTTGGGCCGTCATCAGAGTGTTAACTTTGCTCTCGAGATCATGCATCTTCTTATCCTCTTCCTCGCTCTTCTTCAAGTAAACTTGCAGAGGTTGAGTGGATGACTTGGTCGGACCGCTTCCGGTATTGTCTTTATCTGGAGGAGGATCATCGAAGATAGTCCCATCCTCTTCATTACGCCGGCTGGATTCTGCTCTTTAGCTTGATTCCGGTTGATGTTGTTGAACCTGCAAATCTCGCATCTGCTGCATAGTCAACTCTATCTCGGTCTTGAACTCAGCTCTAATTTCTTCGCGTTGTTTAGCCAACGCTTCTTGTAGTATGTGAGCCAGTTGATCCGGCGTGATTGTAAATGATTCTCTGACTCGCCCTACACTGGATGCGTACTGTCTGAAGCTACAGCAGAACAAGTGTCTGACAGTTCTTCATCTGAAGATAATCCTTCGTGCATCCTTTTGTAGTCTCGACGTCGGTTGGCTCTTCGTTGCAACCGTGACATTCTTTGAGAGAGACCCCACTCAACTCTCCCTCCCGGAGAGAAATCAGGGTCAGGGTTGACAGACTGTTGCCTTCCTCTGCCGGTCATATTAATAGTGACCTCAGGGAATTCATCTTGTTGAATTGTCGGTTTCTTCTTGTTGAAACGCCTCATTTTGGGTCTTGACGTTTCATTGGAAAGCCTTTGGAATACGGAGACTCTTGTTGAATCATTTTTTGAGCATCCGCATTCTGTCAGCACCACCTTAATGAGTCTCTCGCAAGCGCAATGAGACTCGTTTTCTCGAACAATCCTTTTTCTTGAATTATTTCTCTGATAGTATAGCTCATTACTATTATGATTTGAGCAACCTATCTGTGGTTTCTGAACCTTGTTAACATGCACAGGACGACTAGTTGTCGCCACTGAGCGATCCAAGGTTAAAATTTTAAATACACCCCCATGGGGGTGTGGAGTTTTCATAGGTCCTAAACGAGAATGAACTGGTATTCTTTCGTTCTGGACTTGTGCAATTCTGACAGGAGGGTGTTTATGACCCCCTGTATATGAAACCACTACGGGTTTATTTACTGGACCTGGGTTTTCTTTGACTGGGGCTTTGCCTTGATCGTCAGCCGAAGGACCGAGGCGATCCGTCATGGTGATCTTAAATTTGGATAAATCTGGGCTGACCCAGGGTTTCACCGGTGATGCGGTAGACGGGCCCGGAATAGATGCTTGCGGCGTCTTCGGCATCCAAACTCTACGATTCTTCGGTAGCTTTTCAGACACCGTCTCCTTCTTGATTCTTTGTGATTGTTGACGAAGAGCGCGAGCATGGGCGGCCTTCGCCTGATGCCTTTGTATCCGTTCCTTAAGGGTTGAGCGAGCCCTTTTGACGAGGGTCCACTCCTCCGTCGTAAGTTGTGCAGAAATGTGATTATTTTGCCGTTGAGGCAACTGAGTCACTTTCTGTTTCCTCGACTCTAGGTCCGCATAGTAATGGACCCCATCGGTTTGTTGCATGGCCTTAGCCAATTGACGAGCACGGCGCTGGCGCTGTCTCTGACGAGCTCTCTTCGTCAGCACCGGTGAGCTATTGATCAACGACTCCGTAATGGGTATAGAGTCGTTTTGAGCAGGGATGTTACAGGCAGATTCCTTAGCGACGATCGGGCAAGAATCTTTGCCTGCGGCCTCCGTTGGAACTGCAGACTTGAAAGTTTTCTTAGAAGACGAAATTTCGCAGATGAGGATGACAAATACTCTTCAAACTTCGCCTGATCGAACTCGTATTCGATCTCTTCATTGACAACGATCTTGATCGGTTGCGACACCGCGGCCTCGGCAGCGAGGCCGCTGGCTCCCACTGTGGTCGCCAGATTGTTTTCGTCAAAAGTTGCTTCCATTGATAATTCTATTGAACTTCGGTCGTTTACAACGAATTACAATGAAAAAATTAGAAAATTACAACTCTTGATAAACTAACACAGAAATCGTTTATCGGATCCTGTTTTTGTGGGACTTTGCCTGTGCCGGGAACGCTTTGGTTTGTGGACCGCCGAATCACAGATCATGAAGGGGGTTTACTGATTCTGACTTCGTTTATCGAAGTGAGAACTTAAAACGATATCTTATCAAAGTAAGATAGTCGTTCTTCTTAAAATCAAGTCAAAGCTTAATTTCAAGGAGTTACACGAAAACTCTAATCTGCTCTCTCTGCTCTGGATTGCTCAAAAATATGCTCGATCCTCGTCAGAAGTGACCCTAGGGGGTATTTATAGCCTCAGGGGTCTGTAACTGAAAAAACTCAACAAAACAGTGAATTAGTACGGCGAGACAGTGTTTATTGTCTCGGCGGCCGAGACAGTGTTTGCTGTCTCGACCCGCGAGACAGTAAATACTGTCTCGGAAAAGGC